ATGTTTTCTTCATGGTGCTGATTTTAGTGACATCAGGACATGTATTGAAGACGGGATACTGGTATTGGAACAAAACAAACAGGATTAGAATAGATAGGACAGAAGGATCAGGTAGATTTGTGACGGTCAGTGAATTCCTCATTGGAAAGATAATGAGAAAAAGAAAGCAAAGAAAAGTGCAGAGTGAACGGTTCTGATATAAGGGGGAAGGAGCCAGTGCAGCTGAAACCCAAGCAAGAGGCAGAGCGGGAAGAGTGGCTCATTGCTAAGTACAGGGGCCACAGGACCCCGTGAGCGATGGCGAAGCCTTGAGGGTTCACCCGCGGCGATATGAGGAGCGTTGGAGTCTTGAAAGACAAGTGCTGTAGCCTGACCTGCAAGTTGACAATCCCCTGGGGTGCTGAGCTGAGAACCAACACCAGGAAATCAAGAACCCAAAGCTGCAGACTAGTTGAGCGACAAGGCAGTAATCCTGGGACAGTCAGTGGCTCAGACGGCAGCATTTCAGAGGGTGGGGGGTGAGGCAGACGGTCATCTTCCAGGCATCTGGAAGGAGGTGTCTCCAAATGCTCCAAACGTGAGGTGTGAAATGATGGAAGGACTAAAAGATCAGAAACCTGAGAGTCAGGGAGTGACTGGATTGTTTCCTCCTTTCCTTACAGCAACTTGAGTTAATTACACTCGGTAATACGTAATGTTACCAGTGCCTCCACACACTTCTGCTAGAAGATGCCTCTGCCAGCGGAGGACAGAGGGAGGCACTATGTAGGGCAGACAGAGCTCACGCCAGCTTACATACACCTAGCCAGCCGACTCAAGCCAGACTGGCCCCTCAGCCACGTGCCCATGACCACCGTACCACGTGCACATCTATCCCCACACGGGCTCGCTAACCATCCGTGGGCTGCCCCAGGCACAATGGCAGGCACTGGAGATACAGAAAACAGAGTCAACTTCTCTCTGAAAATTGACAAAGAGTAAATGGATGAACGAAATGTGGTATATCCACACATGGGATATTGTTTAGTCACATAAGGAAACACACGTGCTACAATGCGGATAAACCTTGAAAGTATTATGCTAACTGAAAGAACCCCTTTATAAAAAGCCACATACAAAATATACAGAATAAGTGAATCTTCAGAGCAGGAAAGTTGCCAGGAACTGAGGGGAACGGAGAATGACTGCTTCACGGGTAGAGTTTTCCACGTGGGAAGATGAAAAAGTCCTGAAACTAGACAGTAGCAGCGGCTTCCCAACATTGTACGTCTATTAAATGCCACTGAGTTGGACACTCGGTGGTTTATCATTTTATGTTATGTGACTTTCACCTCAGTAAGAAAGTGTTTAAAAATACACAGTTCTAGTGATTAGGCAGGACAATACTGTAAACAATTTACTGTTTGTTATAGAGAACAGGTCATGGCTCAATAGATAAAAGACTTCTGAACCATCAAGGCTAGCTTGTTCTTCCCCCATAGTAACCAAGGTGAAAAGTGAGTTTTGGCAGATAGCGCTGCAGATTTCAGGGTCTGCATGCTCTAGTCAAAAAAAAAAAAAAAGACAATTGAGAACAAAGACCTTGCAGTGGGGAAAAAAAAACGAGTGGTTCTAGGAACGGAGAGGCTAGCTGAGTGCTACACACCAAGGTGAGGAGAAAGCACGCAGTGAAGTTAGGGAGACAGGAAGGGGCTCCATCACAGATGACGGCTGGGACGTGGTAGCAAATATGGACCCACATGCTTGTCATATAAACATTTGTACAACGAGGCCGGTGAGTTTACAAAGTAATTCACTAGATGCATTAATTGTGCTGTTACGAGGATAGGTCGTACAGAAGAACCGTCCATTCTGTAAGGAAAAGCTTAGATGTCAGAAGTCACAGCTCATTAATATCACATGGGACCTGAACCATATTCTGATGTCCAAGCCCCTAGTCAGTGCCTTTGCTCTGTTGCTGGGCTCTTGTTCAGTGATCTAGAAAGATGAATTCCAACCTGCGGGTACCATGGATTTTCCTCTCAAACTTCTACTTCAGAGGAGCTCAAATTTGACTCAATGTTAGAATCAACTGGAATATCCTTTAAAAATTCTGATGCTTGAAACACAGGCATATGGGTCAATGGAACAGAATAGACAGCCCAGAAATAAACCCACAGACTTATGGTCAACTAATCTTCAACAAAGGAGGCAAGAATATACAATGGAAAAAAGACAGTCTCTTCAGCAAGTGGTGTTGGGAAAACTGGACAGCAGCATGTAAATCAGTGAAGCTAGAACACTCCCTTACACCATACACAAAAATAATCTCAAAATGTCTTAAAGTCTTAAATATAAGACAAGACACAATAAACCTCCGAGAAGAAAATATGGGCAAAACTTTCTCTTACATAAATCTTAGCAGTGTTCTCCTAGGGCAGTCTATCCAGGTAATAGAAATTAAAAAAAAAAACACATGGACCTAATTAAACTTACAAGCTTTTGCACAGCAAAGGAAATGATAAGCAAAACAAAATAACAACCTATGGAATGGGAGAAAATTTTTGCAAATGATGTGACCGACAAAGGCTTAACTTCCAGAATATGTAAACAGCTCATACAACTTAAGAAAAAACCAAACAACCCAATCCAAAAATACACAGAAGACCTAAACAAGCAATTCTCCAATGAAGACATATAAATAGCCAATAAGCACAAGAAAAAATGCTCAATATCACTAATTATCAGAGAAATGCAAATCAAAACTACAATGAGGTATCACCTCACACCAGTCAGAATGGCCATCATTCAAAAGTCCACAAATGACAAATGCTGGAGAGGCTGTGGAGAAAAGGGAACCGTCCTGCACTGCTGGTGGGAATGTAGTTTGGTGCAGCCACTATGGAAAACAGTATGGAGGTTCCTCAAAAAACTAAAAATAGACTTACCCTATGACCCAGCAATCCCACTCCTGGGCATATGTCTGGAGGGAACTCTAATTCAAAAAGATACATGCACCCCAATGTTCATAGACTCTTCACAATAGCCAAGACCTGGAAACAACCTAAATGCCCAGATCAACAGATGACTGGATAAAGAAGATGTGGTATATATATATACAATGGAATACCACTCAGCCATAAAAATAGAATAAAACAATGCCATTTGCAGCAACATGGATGGACCTGGAGATCATCGCACTAAGTGAAGTACGTCAGAGAAAGAAGAATACCATATAATATTACTTATATGTGGGATCTTAAAAAGAAAGACACAAACTTATTTACAGAAACAGACTCACAGACATAGAAAAACTTATGGTTACCAGGAGGGAAAGGGATAAATTCGGAGTTTGAGATTTGCAGATACTAACTACTATATACAAAATAGATAAACAACAAGGTCCTACTGTGCAGCACAGGGAACTCTATTCAATACCTTGCAGTAACCTATACTGAGAAAGACTATGAAAAGGAATACACGTGTGTATGTGTATGGCTGGAGCATGATGCTGTGCACCAGAAACTGACACAACACTGTAACCTGACTACTGCCTGGGTCCACTTCCTCCTAGATTTAGTTCATCTGACCATCAAGAATTTAAGTTCCCCAAGTACAGCCAAGATGTCAAGATACGAAACAAAACCACCGTATATCCTAGTGTTCTTTCTGCTCAAGGCTTATGTGACCCAGATTCTCTTTCCATTAGGGTTCTGGTTGCAAAGTTGGGTACATCAGTGCGATGCATCTGACAGACTTGGAACAGAAAAGTGATTCCTAGCTCACCATCCTGTTGGAGCCACCGCACATCCTGGGGGCAGTACCCACCTGCAGTTCCCTGGGTACGGAGCTGGGGCAGATCCTGTGTCCTGATCCCTGGACCCCAGCAGAAGCAGTGTGCTCCTGCAGCCTACTTCACCAGAAGCCATCCCAGCTTATATTCACTCCCCAAGCCCTCTGGCCGACTCTGCAAGCACCCACTCAACGTCCACAAGGGTTTGCTCCTAAAACTGGGCCAGGAGTGATACTATTGCAGTTTATGTTCCAAAAATTTCAGAAGATTAAACATTTCTAAAACGTCTTAAAAATGAAGAAGAACTACCTACCGCAGACATTTCAGGTTACAGTTTGGCTTCTTCAGAGCTTCACAGAGAAAACACAATCCAGTGGCCGTGGGGTTGAAACCCAGGCTCAAGCCTGTTAGGCTGGAGTCTCCCTGGAGAAGCCTCGCAATATATCTGCACTATATCTGCAGCCTTGTCTGTTTATGTTGCAATGACACCGCCTGCAAGGACAGTCACGTGAAGAGAAGTCTGTCATCCCCCTGTGACACGCGCCCCGTGAGGGCGTGCTGCTTTCAGCACTGTGCCTTCTCAGGCAGGCTTGTGCATAAACACATACACATGGAATGATCATTGTTTCTACCCTACCTAGTGGCAGAGAGTTAAACTGGCCTTTGTCCACCACCTTGTATTATGGACAAGCAGACACACATCTCCTAAGATGGAGATTTCCCTAGAATGACGGCAAATCACATAGGTCCAGGGCTCTGGGCTCAGACAGACCCGAGACTGAATCTGAGGCCTCAGTTCTTTCCTGCACGGTCAGGTCACTGGGATGCCACTCTCCCCATCTTACGCTTTATTTCCAGTCCAGTACTGAATCGTCCTGACATAACTGTGGTACACCAAAAGTCCAATGTTCCAACATCATAGTGGCTGTGTTCCTAATTTAAACACTGTAGACACTCCTACAAGCTTAGACTTCTACAAATCCTCCAGACCACACAGAGGATGGCCCCATGGTATAGTTGGGCAGGTCACCTACAACCCACCTGACAGCCTTGTGCCCCAAGCATGGTGTGACAGCAGCAGGTGGACATGACCAAGAGCAGGTGGGCAGTAACTGGACAAAAGACGCCATGCTTTGTACTGTGTGAGATTCCAAAATTGTACTTGAACCTACAGAGCTTGGGGAGAGGGGCTAAAGCAAAATCTAAAATTAAGTTTTGAAAGCTTACAAAATGCAGGTTTGGTCAAACACTGACTATGGGTATTTAAAATAATGATCGTTGACAATTCAGTTTACAGAGAGGGCTTCATACCTACTACTCAGATGTGACCATGGGCAAGCTAAGTGGCTAAGCTTTGGTTTTTCTAATTAGCTAATTAGCAAAACTGAAATAAAGGTAACTATCACACGTGGTTGTAAGGATTAAAAAGATCATTCTTGTAAAATTTAGTAGAGTCCCCAATACACATAAATGCTTAAGCATCAGACATATTCTGTTGTTTAGATGCCCAAATCGACTCTAACTTTAAAACGAGGCAGTCTATGCGGTGACATCATACAGGAAACGTTACATTCTTCTAATGAGTGCTGTTGAGGCAGAAACACGGCCTCTCCTTGCCTCTATCTGCCACTACAAACTGAGTCCTTGTTTTTCCTTTCTAGTCTTAAACCCGTCCGTATAACTCACTCCATTCCCAATTGCTGGAAGAAGTAGGTCATGTGAATTTTCAGGATGTATCCAGAACATCAGACCTGAGAACCAACTGCTTATCTCGAATTCTCAGAATAGGAAGAGGCCAGAAAGTCAACCCTGCTCTTAAAAGACACGCAAACACTTAACATCTGTTTCTACCTGTTCTTTCCCTAATTTCCACCAAGGTCTTGCTGGCTTCATTCAAGTGGCATTACTAAGTGCTCTTATTTCTGCCCTACTTGAATCCGGGTGTATGTACGTCCACACACCGCACACACATGCACACACAGCCAGCAGGGACTTACACCAAAGTCTGTAGTTTACATTCGGGATAACTCAGTCCCTCACACAGAATTTTCACCCCGCCATCCCCTAGGCTGTTTCTGGCCAAGCACAGGTGGGTCAGCCTCTGGTTGACAATCAAAGCGGAAGACAGCTCCTTACAACAGGCTCCTGTAAGGTGACAGTTTTCCAACCTGCAAAAGTACCACCTAAGTGGTAAGACAGTTCCCCCACAACCTTCTCAGCTGATGGCCCTTCTTGTGAATTTCCCACGCTCTTTATCTCGTGCTGGTGATCAAAGCCTAAAGGACCAGGAATGACAGGTAAAAATGCATGAGTCATCTGCCTGGGACCAAAATTGGGAACCAGATGTCTGCGTCGGTCAGAAGTCCCAAAGGGACTGCCCTGTAAGTTCAGTCTCCCCGTCGCTCTTCTGTGTGGCCCCAGACCTAAAACAGAGATGCTCCATGGGAACAAATGAGAGACTTACGACAACTTCTGGAGGAAGCACTCTGGGTGTCTCAGCGTTGTGCATGGCAACTTGACACCCTCATCCAGGAACTCACTGGCTGTGAGACCCAGGTATTTCAGGGACTGGATGATTTTGAGAGCTGAGGAGAAAGCAGCCCACCGCTGAGCAGTGTCAGAATAAGATCCCAACCTGTGGGATTAAATGGGGGCAAGTCTTTCTTCTGGGAGAACAGAGACCATTATCAGCTAACTGTGCTTCCCTAAAGATCGTGACCTTGATTCTCACCTCATTCTGCTCTAGTATGTGCCAGACCCGGGCCTGAATTATTAGAGTTGATCTCCTTTACTTCTTCAGATGTCTCCACAGCCATTTGATCAATATCCAGCCTCATCTCTAAGAGGAAAAATCCATAATACAATTCTATGTGAAGTTTCACCAGCATGGCCTGGTAGTGCTCACACTTTGTAAACGATCACTTTCCCCAACCTGGATCTGTCCTAGTACCACTTAGATTTAAACATGTGGCTCCATAGGAAAAAAAACTGATGCCTGATACTCAAAAAGTTCAACTTCATAAGTGATTAGGGCATATGCTAATTAAAACAAGAAGCTACCACGTGCCACTCAGGTGGCTAATTCCAAAATCTGTTTGAGTGCGTGTTGCAGAAATGAGAACTGGAAGCTCCCTCTGCTGATGGAAATCTGAACATGGGGCAGCTGGTTCAGAGAACGCTGAGGCAATCCATTCACCCATTACGCGGGTTCTGAAACTCAGCTGCTCTGGCGGACGTAGATCAGAGTATGCGACCCTTGGACAAGCTTGTCTGAATCATGGCTCTGCCCCCTGATATGTTCAAAATCTTTACAAGTTACTTAAGCTTTTTAATTTTTCCCCTTACATATACTTTGCGGAGAGACGATACCTTTACGTCAAGCAGACACAGGATACAAGCAATCTGTATACTGTGCCCATTAGAATGTATGTCGTAAGTAAAGTTCGAGTTCTTAGAATTAGTACTTTTCTTTCCTTGTAGCCTAACCTGCAACAAGGATACTATAAATCTAGTTAAGTATCTGGAATAAAAGTAGAACATGAAGTGTCTCAAGTCAAGTGAGCAAAAACAGGAGATTCTACACCAGCCGTTTGTCATTCTGGAGCCTGGAATACTGTATCCACTGAGAAACATCATTTAATCAAACATCATTTATCAAAACTTCAGCATTAATAGATTTTTTAATTCAATGAAAAGCAGCACTTATCAGAAATTAGCCATGATAGTAAGAACTGCCAGCTGTGTCTGGCCCTACGGAAAGCAGTTCACATCCCATGTTTCATTCAGTTCTCGAAACCCCAATTTATAGAGACAGAAACAGCTCAAGATCATATAGGTCATAAATGTCATAGCAAAGATCAGGGCTCATTTCCAAATCCCAAAACCTGTGTTGCTAGCTAGTGCCTCAGGTTGCTACTCAACTCGGCAGGCAGAGGGAATGGTACCCCAAAGATGGAGAGCTCCCTGAGGACACGGGAATCTCTCGAACCAGAAAGCTACCAGGAATTAGGACACTTGATGCTTCTACAGCATCACTGAGTGGCCAGTTAAGGTTGATGACTGCTCTGAATCACAGCAGGTCGGCAGCATGCAGCCTGAAGTGCCATGTCCCTAAGCTAGAAGATGACACAAAATTCTGAGTGTTTCTTTGCATTCAGGGCTCATTTTTCACTGCAGAGGACAGAGCTGGCTGGGGAGAGATTACAGGCTGACACACCATCCACACTCTCGTTGAGAATGTTTCCCTGTTCAGTATGGCGTCCAGTCAGAGCGACCACCCTCTTCTTTCTTGTTCATGCAGCAGCACGATGCAGCTCGTAGCATCCCTTCGATGCTGAGAACAGCAATGACGTGAGCTCTACCTGAGACAACGCACATCACACCTTGAATGTTTCAAGAGCTCACACAGCAGCAGCAGCAGCCTCTTATCACTGTGGACACTGCCTTCCAGGACCAGGTCTGTCAGAGGCTTCCAACCAACGAAAGCCAGGCGGAAGTCCCGATAGGCGTCGGCAGGGGAGATGTTTTTAATCCTAGGGAAAATAAGAAGGGGTTCCATCCTGGGTGTTGCAGATGGCTGGTGCTGTGAACACCAAGTGGGAATGAGAAGTCACCAGTCAAGACGGAGACAGGGAGAGGTCTAGGAAGCCGCCTTGAAGGACAAGCCGATGGAGTGACAGCTAGAGAGAAGAAAAGGACAGACTCCTAATGGAAGTAGCATATGGCGATGGGCGGGAGATGGAAGTAGATGGCCAAGGGCCTGACACACCTTTGTCCTGTACGCTCATGTCGGTCTTCAGAGGAAACATCCCCGTGTTTGTTTTTTTTGAAACAAAACTTGCCACCCCAAAATTTCTCTTTGGCATGCAGACTATTTCAAGCTGAAAACGATCAAGACCAAAAATACCCAGGACGAACTTTGACCTTCCCGCTAACTTCCTGAGGAACCCGGAGGGGCCGCCCCAGGAGCAGGGCTACCACCGCAGGTACCGCAAGGAGTACAGGCTGCTGTGACGGGGGGACTCGGCAGGGCCTGGAGAGCAGGCTCCGCTCCGGGTCCCACTGTCTCTGCAGGGCCAAACTTTCTTTTTTTAACCAAACACTTGCTTTTCCATCCCATGTGAACTGCCTTCCCTCTTGAAGTCCCAAGCCACTGCCCCAACGTCCTCTTTTGTCTTCAGTGGAAGACGGCATTTAGTGCGAGGATCTCAGCCTTTTGAGGAAGGAAATCAGGCGTTCTGGGTCTCTCCTGTATGCACACATGTTACTAAGCTTTCGATTTTCTCCTGTTGCTCTGTTTCACGTCGATTGAATTCTTAGGCCAGCCAGAAGAACCCAGAAGTGTAGAGGAAAATGCCTTCCTCCCAATGTCATATTCTCTATTTCTTTCAACACTCAGTTCACATACAACTTTCCCTGCTCCTCAATGCCTGGCTTTCTAGTAAGAATAAATCACTTCCTACCATATCCCCATGCATTTGCATTTCCACAAAGTGGTTGTCATTTAGGCGACGGTAAGTTAGGGTTTGAAAGTTAACAAACTACAGACTCCTTGAAGGTATGGACCATTAAGAGCTGTTTTTGGTGCTTATTTTCCCAATATCTATCATGATTGTAGAATTTTACATGGAATTGAAAAAATCTTTAAGTGGAATAGAACACTT